CAAAGAGGCGACATCTGCTGTAACCAAAAAACAGTGAGAGTGAAAAGGGAGGCCCTCCACAGTTTGAATAAAGAGTTTAGTGTCTCGTAGATATGCCTCATTTCTCTGGATGAGTGGCTGCAGGAAAAAATCAACATATGCCCCCTAATCTGTTAGTGACAGACCCTATACCATTTACTATTGGCCTGCCAGGGGGATGATGTAAATTCTTGTGGATCTTTGGTAAATAATAGATGATTGGAATCCTACACTCCAATGGTGCTAAAAATCTACTTTCCTTTTTTGTCAGGATATCACAATTTCGCCCCCTCTTCACTAACCGGTCTAGGTCTCTCTTAAAATTTCTTGTGGGGTCTTTAGATAAAACCTCATATGTGTCCCCATCTGCTAGTAGACGAGCCATTTCGTTCTTATAATCTACTTTATTCAAAATGACGATTGCTCCGCCTTTGTCAGCAGGTCTGACTATGATGTTCTTATCCTTCTCCAGTTCTCTAATCCCTTTATTCAGATGTTGTGGATGTCTAGATGGTTTCAATTTCAGTTTTTCCAAATCTCTGACTATCAAATTTCTAAATACTTCAATATATTTGGTGTTGTGAGGGGCTGGGTTAAATGTTGATTTGTTGGTTAGTGTGGTATGTCTGAATTCACTTTGAGTTTCCAAACTCTTGGGGGGTACTGGATTCCTTAGAAAATGTTTTTTTATACATAGTTTGCGAGTGAACTTATTAACGGAGATGTAGGTGTCAAACTTGCTAAGGGGCTTATTAGGTGCATATTTAAGCCCCTTGTCAAGCACCAACAGCTCTTCTTTACTAAGGATTGTAGAACTCAAATTAATAATACCTTCCCCTAAAACCTCTTTCTTTTTCCTGTGTTGTCGACCTGATCTACATCCCCTCTTTCTTCCATATTCATTCTGTCTCTTTGTGGTGCCTCTCGTTGCCAGTCCCGTTGGAACCGGGGTTTCCTCCCTAAAAAACCCCTATCTCTATTGGCATCATCTTGGTTCAATGGGGTAAAACGATTACGTGTAGGAATTTCAAAATCAGAATCTCTGTAAATATGGGGAGTCCAATTATTT